ATCAGATCTACTGTGACCTAAAACAAAATTAATTATATATTTCAATAGAAATTTGATAACAAAACAAAAGCACTTAAACTACCAACATAGGTTAGTATTAACTTAGTATAATAAACAGGCGGCACCACCCACTTGTAATCATTCTTGTAAAGTTTAATCATACCACAGATAGCTACGAAAAACAGTTTACCTTCTCTGCAATAAATTTAGGCAGTAGATTGGAGACCCCTGATGCTTCCAAAGCATCAGCAATGGCTAATTCTTCTTCGTCTCTACCGAGGTCTCTACATTCTGCCATGATATGGTGGTGGTGGGATCACGTGATGTAATGTATCCCTACCGGGGGCCTCCGTATACTCTAAAGTCTACATCCGTAATCATAATGGATGAAATTTAACGCGCGTAAGAGTTTTAACGCGCGTTTTGCATGATCTAATTATGGCGCGGTAAAAGTAGAGAATTTTGAAACATTTGGTTTGCCATACGCCCACGCCGTAGGCGTATAGGCGAGGGTACTGCGCTCGTGCTGTCAGTGTGTGTGGGGCGTTACTAGAATGCGGATCAGTGCGGATTGCTGCGGATCGTTCCGCACGCTGAACCAAGCACGTGAACGCGCGGAACGTGCACGGGCGTCTGCCTAGAATGCGGATCAACTCCCAAGAATTCAGAATATGCACCATAACTTCTCGCGGATCAGTCCTCTTGTTCTTCTATTCCATTCAGTCTTTATTTGTTGCAATGTTTAACTCTTTATAAAGTAAAAATAACTATTTTTAACTGTAATAATTTTAAACTTTGAATGTACGAGATTTCAGTGATGATATCAAAATAAAAAGCCTTCAGTCATTGGTCATAGAATAGATTATACTGCATCTAGATCTAGTTGCAATGAAATGAGTTACAATCTGCATTAAAAACAAACATATAGTCGTAAAATTTAAACAATAAAAGTCGCCTCACAAATAACAATTATTTTTATTGTGTAAAAATGATTATTATGATATTACCAAAAATATTCTATTGGCCAAAAATTGCTACCACCTAGCTATATCATTTTTCCTCACAAAGATATCTTCATTTGCATTGGGATGCATGTAAAAATATAGTTTTAAAAATGAGGTCTTTCAAGTTGTGGATTGCTGCATGCTTCATATCAATATTACTGTATCTTGCTTAATTGCTTTATAGCCACTTTGTCAGTAGTATATCTGAAATTTTGTCAGAATAGATGCAACTCAGTTTAACAAGAGTACATACTCTTGGTCAATAAATGATGGAGTTAGCGTTTTTTTAGTATGAATATTATTCAGTGATTCTAGTTGCAGTACTAAAAATGTCAATTAATTATTATAGATGTATTTTTTGACTAATACTTAAACTAGTTTTTTTAAATTTTACATTACTATCTTTATTGCTTGCTTTTTAAAAATATCTACAGGATTAGAGGGAAGTTATAATAATTTTAAGCTTGATATATGTAGGAAACATGACTCTGAAAGTAAGTCAAATAAAAATATCTTATGCTCTGCATTAATTAGCAACTAGAGTTGGGTCAACTTGAATTTTGTTAGCTACTTTTTATACTGTTCATTGATAATTGCTGCCAAAACTGAATTATCTTAGTTCCTTGAGCAACTTTTAAGAGATAATGACATCATCCACTCAGTAATGTAAAGATTTGCTATCAGTCTAAGTTGCTTATAAAAGCATTATAAAGACTTATCTACATTAAATATCTTAATGCAATCAGAGCAGTATTTGTAATTATGTAAAAGGAATACTTTCAAATAAAAATGATGGGTGGTAACAATTTTTGGCCAATAGAATTATTTTGGTAATATCATAATAATCATTTTTACACAATAAAAATAATTGTTATTTGTGAGGCGACTTTTATTGTTTAAATTTTATGACTATATGTTTGTTTTTAATGCAGATTGTAACTCATTTCATTGCAACTAGATCTAGATGCAGTATAATCTATTCTATGACCAATGACTGAAGGCTTTTTATTTTGATATCATCACTGAAATCTCGTACATTCAAAGTTTAAAATTATTACAGTTAAAAATAGTTATTTTTACTTTATAAAGAGTTAAACATTGCAACAAATAAAGACTGAATGGAATAGAAGAACAAGAGGACTGATCCGCGGGAAGTTATGGTGCATATTCTGAATTCTTGGGAGTTGATCCGCATTCTAGGCAGACGCCCGTGCACGTTCCGCGCGTTCACGTGCTTGGTTCAGCGTGCGGAACGATCCGCAGCAATCCGCATTCTAGTAACGCCCGGTACAGTTACCGTAGGTCGGGATATACCTACGCTTACGCTACGCTTACGGGATATACCTACCCAACTGCTTAGTACCCGCCTACGCGAGTCCAATACCGTAGGTCGGGGTATTCGCGGCTGCTTATTTTCGTCGATAATAAAAACTAATAAAAGGTTCAATTAAATACCATGGAAACCAATCGATTGTTGCTATGACAATAAGACCACGTGTTTATACAATTACAGTGTTCAGCAGCTATTTATCTATTCTTTAGCAGCTTTAGTGGGAGCCATCCAGTTCTCCATCCGCTATCTTCTTGTATAGACCACTACCTTCGAGCTCTTCGCTGCAAATCCTTGCCGCTCCACTTGCTGGTGATAATTAACCACGCCCAAGTCAATAAATGGGTGGAGAGTCCCAAGAATGGGCCAAGATACGGCGAGGCAGAGTGAAGAGAGTAGCTCCGGTTGAAACAGCTCCAAAGAGACCAAGGATTAGTAACAGCATGAAGAACAACAGCCCAAGAACACTGCAACAGAGTCCTTTGCTATTAATATCGCGGATTTTTCAATTAAAATTGCATTTGGTAACCATGGTAATTGCTGAGTGCGGGAAAAAATCGCGAAAATAAGCAGCCGCGAATATATCCCGACCTACCATAGATACTATATATACCAAGTGGATGCGAAACAGGAAGTAGATTGTACATGAAATTATATTGGTGACGTCACGAGCAGTATGCCTATGCTTTTTTCGCTCTAGCGTTAGCCTCTAGTGGCCTTGTTTCTCGAAGTTTTGGGTTCTTGGTCAAGTTACTACTTTGCTGAGTTGAAGTAAGTATTATGAAGTCTCTATTAGCTCGAATGACCTGCTAAATCCTTGTTTGCTTGATCACTGGATCTCGTTGTGCTGTAAAACATGGCGGCCTACAGTTCTGACTTTAAACACCTTTTCTCCAATCTGGGGCAGAGTTAGTAAGTGTTATTTGGGTAGAAGAAGGATATTATTGTGTTACATGGTCTGTAACTACTAGCTTTCCACTGCAGTTTTATAAAATATAAATATATCCATTTTTTAGTTTGTTTATGGTCTGTTTTGTAAACACCTTTTCTGGAAAACTATGCTATTTGAAGAGGTATAATTTTGTATGAGTCTACGTACATGCCTTTTGTACGGTTTGTATAGAGCTGTTGCACGGAAGTAATCAACGGGAGGGTGTGGCTAAAATTGAGCTAAATTGTCCGCCATGTTGGGTGGCAAGAAGGCCAAGAATGAATGGGGGAATGGAGAAAAAAATTTAAATAAATTCTGCAGTTGACATTCCAGGCTAATGCAAGGTAGGAGATGAAGATATTGAGTAAAGAAGTCTCTATAATATTCTGCAGCGAAGTATGATATCTCTTTGATGAAAAATCGCAGTTTGTTTCAATTTCTCCATTCATTACGTGTACATTCTTGCCACTCAAGATGGCTGACAGGAAGCTCCGCCTACCCCGTTGATTACATCCGTGCAACAGCTCTATATTTTCATAATTATTTTAAAGCTATGTTTCTTTGAAAAAAGTTACTTAATGTCATTGTGATATACCATATTAGAATGATAAAACTATTATTATAATTTTATTTTTTTGATGATCAAATAGGGTATGAATATGAAACCAATGAAGCTAAATTGTCTGTTGTTTCTTGTACTGACTCTTTTCAGAAGAAATATAGATTTTTATGAAGTTTTTTATAATTATTGATTTTGCCACCATTTTGGTTGCTAATCGTATCTAGGAAAACGTCACATCCGGCGAAAAGAGCATAGGCACATCCTGTTTTGTATCCACTTGGTATATATAGTATCTATGGACCTACGGTATTGGACTCGCGTAGGCGGGTACTAAGCAGTTGGGTTGTCATTCTGTCCACACAGTTTAATTGATTTGTAAAAAATTATCTTTTTGTCTGAGCAGTCTAGAGTTCTATTTCTTCTTCTAGCAACAGATAAAGTTGCTTTCTTTCATCTAGTTACGCTCTTGTAGCATCCCGTGGCACCAAAAGCTGTGAACTGCTGAACCAGGGGACCTCTCTCCAGGTGAGAGCTCGTGTTTCACTCTACAGGGCCGAGATTTGCTTTAGAGGTAGAAAATCCCATCTAACGAAAAAAAAGAACGATTTTGTCCAAACTTCGTTGTTTGTGAGTTATAGTTGCTCAAAGCATGTCCAGAAATTGGAATGGAACTTCCGGTCATTAAAATTTAATTATATTCATTGAAATAATTAATATTACCATGGTAACGAGTAATGGTGGAGAAA